GAGAGGAGAGGAGACGAGATGAGACAAAACGAGAGGAGACGAGACGAGACGACATTATTACTATTATTCCAATATTATTCATGGAAAATAATCTATCCAAAAAACAATCACTAAGAGTGTCAAAGATCCCAAGTCTTATAAGAGCAATAAGAGCCTTGTAGATGATGGAGGAACAAGAAGGTAAAATTGGGGAAGGAAATAGCGACAGAAGCAGAAAGAAGGGAGTTAGTGAAGCCTGTCCAACAAAAGAGCAAATACACCAGAGCTGCATCATGGTTGAATGGAGACAGACCTCTGGTTTCCAGGCCACACTATTAGTTCTTGTTCCATCAGGAGGAGGAGGGGGTTGGGAGCAGGTAAATGGGATTTTGGCGAGCACTATTGCCAGATATACAGAACCAGGCTAGGCTTTAGTTTAGAAAGATGTGGGAACTGTGGAGTCAAGATGCTGCTCCACTGAAGGTGAATTTTGATTTTGGGGCTGAGGGACTGGAGTTAATGCTCAAATGAGGACACTATAGACAAAAGCTGGCCATTAACTCTGGGCTGGTGTGGGGAGTTGAAGCCAGGGGAGAGTTTGCTCCTCCACAGAGAAGTGAATGGAAAAACGTGTCAATGGAACACAAGGAGAGAGCCTGTGAATAAACAGAAATGGTGACTCACCGTTTCTGGGATGGGAGAGATGACCGTGGGCGGGGGTGTGGGGTACCAAACTGCCTTCACTACCCCTCTAAACACACCAATGTGGGCATTCATGCGTGCACACACGGTCTAACTCATGTGTTACACTCAGTTGGCCCGACCAGGACAAGCTGTCTTTTGTCCAAATCTCCCACCTAAAGCTGGAGCTCCTAGCACGCCAGGAGTTCTGTATTTAGGGGATTTGTGGGATTGCTTTGAGCGTGCGTGTGTGTGTGTGTGTGTGTGTGTGGGTATGAAGGTACTTTTCTAATGTTTTCTCTTGCACATTTCTCAGTCAGAATCAATGTCAGGAGTATCCCAGTACTTCAACTCTTTTGGGATGGGAGGAAACTGAAACACCCAGAGACAGAGGGAACTTGTAAAGTCCACACAGAAAGACTCAATGTTGTCTGTGGTGCAGTTATCTTACAATAGACTTCACCAATCGCTAATAAATAAAGCAGGGAGATGCAAATAAAGCAAGTAATAACTCCAAATTATCAAGCTAATGCTTAAATACAATTGTAGGATGTTAAATCCTCCTACACATTCAAATAAACATACATAAACCTAACCCTAACCCCTTCACATTCTGTTTCCTTTAGTTTTCTCTTTAAGTATCTTTTAAGTTAGGAAAATCATATAAAAATTCTTTATCATCTTGTTCCAGCTCTTATTAAAACTATGCAATGCTTATATTAAGTAAATTACTTCAACACATAACCCATGTTTTGTTTTGGGTTTTTTATTACAGCACCTGTTCATCAAATTCAAATATTTCATATGTGTAGTGCATCATTTTATACATTTCCCCAGAATTCAGCCTCAGATAATTGGGATCTGTGAAACTTTTTGGGCTTCTCTAGAATTTAAAATAAAGTTCTGTGAGTTTGGTCAGTCAGTGTATCGACTGTCTTGAAGATGTTGAAAAAAGTGAGGTAGAAGCAAACATAAAAGAAAGATAATTTTTCTTCTTTTGCTGACAAGGTCTTTTTCTAAATTGAATGCTGCGGAGCAGGAACCGCAAACTGGTACCCAGTGTTTATTTAGAGTAAATCAACATTCCTTTCTCAATCTAAAAATACAGAAAAAGTTTAGACTATATGAATATTACCATGTTAGAAGCTCCATGATACTGTTTGTTAATTATCCTTAGTGTGACCTTACTGCATGCCAGACTGACCTTTCTATCTCCTGTCTTCCATCTGACTCTTTTCCTGACACCAGCATGTCACTGCCAGCATGGAGTTACCCATAATTCAATGCGCGCACGCACGCGCACACACACACACACACACCACACACACAACACACACACAACCCACACACAACACACACACACACACACACACACACACACAACACACACACACACACAAAAAAAAAAAAAAAAGGGGAAAAGGAATGACAAAAGCGTAGACATTTTTTTTTACATCTGCTGCAGTTGTCCCTCCACTCCAAACTGCCAGTACTCCTTTGGTGATGCTTAACACCTGATGTTTGAGCTGTTCCACTAAGAGCTTATATTAAAAATTCTGCATCTGACCAATGCCATGATGTGATATTTACTTGCAAAAGTCAGATTAAAATCAGTTGATTTGTTTAAGGATTTGCTGTTCTTATTAGTCATGACAAGGAGCTTCCCTGTTTGCCATTATTTTTCAGAGGTTTAATGAAGTTGGTTTCTTTCATGTATATTTTCAAACTGATCCACCAACAAACTTGCCATAGCTCAAAATAAGTCAAAATATAAATATAAAAACACCTAAGCCCTTGCTGGTTGACCATGGCAGACAAAAAAAGCCTTCTAGCAGCAGTGTCCCCTTGTCACATGTCTTTTATTAGCTTTCCAACTGTGTTTCGGTCCCATGTGATTCCAATGTACAACAAAAATGTGAATCCGTGCACTTGATTTATACAGAAAATGATTGTCATTATGATGATTGATTATGTCCTCTGAGGTCGCTTTTACTGTGAAGCATCTGCAGGTGTTGTTGAACGTTTTGTGGTGCTTTTTTAAGCACACATCACTTGAAATGTAAATGTAAATTTCATGACAGCTTTGAAAAACCAAGGCAAAGGAAAATAAAGGCATAAAGACAAACAAACAACAACAACCTCTCTTACATTACACAGGCAAGCAGTTTTGGTTAGTCAGAGAAAGCACAAAAAAAGAGGAAGAAAAGAAAATGTGGCCACAAGTGAACTGCACAGGCAGAGACATGCAGTCGCTGTACACATAGTGATGAAGATAAGCGACACCTCTTACTTGTTCCAAACATATCTGTTCCCATCATATGGAAAACACGGTTTGGAGCAGAGGTATGCAGCAGAGATCATCAGATTTATCTCACTAAATTACACCAAGTACATGACAGAGAACCACTCACATGAGGGGAGAAAAAAAAAATACCGTTGTGCACAAAAACAGATTAGCAGAGTGGGTAAGCTGGTTGGAGAGAGTTACAAGTATTTCCTGGAATATTTGTGATTGTGGTTTTACAAAGCTGCTCTGAGCAGGCTGTCGAAATGTGCTAATCTAATCATCTACCAGTCTAATTGGCAGATAAAAACACATGGGCTGCTCAAACTACCACACCAATGTAGGATTATCTCCTGTGTGTTCTATTATAGGCGTATATAGTAGAAATGGTTATTGTGAAAATGTGCTGCTTTGTATTTTTGAATAAAGTAGTGCTGTCGGTTCTCAAATAAAGACCACATTTCCCATGACACCCATTGCTTCCTGCTACAAAGAGGATGCCACTGCTTGTCTTTGCTTTTCACAACTCTACACATTTGTTTTGAAGTTTTCTTTTTCAGGTTAATAAAGAAGATACATTAGTTTGAAGACTCAGCAGTTTGTGCTAGAAAACCACTACACTCCTTATGCTTTATACTGCGATCCAGTAATGTAAAACACAGTGGAGATCCCTGCAAATCTTTTGAATGATAGCCTTGTTACGAATGTTCCAAAATAATTATTTAATAATAATGTTCAAAATGATGAATGCCACATTTGAATACAGTGGGATCATTTAGAGTAGTATTTTGTGGACAACACCCAAGTTGTAGATGAGATGTAGTTGTCACACTCACACAAAAGTAAAAGTAAAAGTCAAGGCATCAGAAGTGTGTTCTCTAGAGACTGAACAACATACATAAAATTAAATTCTTAAATTGTTTGAGCAACTAATTGAAGAAATAAGGCCTTATTTATGGCCTTTAGCTATACGGCCTTTGACATCCTGGCCAATACAAAGCTATAACTTAAAAGTGATCAGTGACAGCTACAAGAAGAAGACGAAAGAAATCAATGAAGAAATCAATGAAGCGCTCAGCAAAGAGACTAAAATTGGCCTGATGGTACTTTTGGCATGAAATGCAAAACCTCTGATGTCACACTGAGGAGAAATGAAAGACACTCTGACCATCACAAAGAAAGGTCAAAGTCATGGAGGACTCTGACAGACAGAGGAAGCCTATTCAAATTATTTATAGTAAATTCACATCCCTCTAGAAAAAAAAGTTAAGATGCTCCTCAACAACTGGATATTGACTCTCTTTTGTTTAACTGCACGTTGAGACATGTTTGTCTTTTAAAACTAATAATGTGAAATGCAACAAAGTGCTCCAACTGTTGACTTGTGTTTAAACTGTTGTTTCATGTTGCCCCATTAGACCATCAAACATCCCTCTGCAAGTGCTGTGCTAGATGTGGCATGACAAAGCCTAACTGAACAGCGTTCTCTCCCAACTGTGTGAGGGGGAAAATGCTAATTGCTGTAATTAGAGCAGAGCAAAGTTGTGACATTTTGTACATTTCCACAGAGTCTCTCACTGCTTGCATGTTTAACTCCTTTTATTTACTTATGAGAATAGTCAAGTGTAAACAAAGGCTTTTGTGGCAGACTGGGACACAAAAACAAAAAGTGAAAGGGAAGAAAAGCAAGTGCACAAGCCAAACTGGTCATCTGACAAAACTGAGCTAAAAGTGTAGCATAGGACTTTGTACAGGAACCACTTTTCACATGGAGAAAGTAGATTTACCTCCTCAATTTACACACACACACACACTTCCTACCTTGGTGTCGACAATGGAGCAGGCAATTTGTTTCACATAAGCCAGGTCAGCAGTCTGGGGCATCAGGACAGATTCTCTGGTCAGGCCAATCTGGATGATGAAGGACACCCCTGCCGGAGTTGGAGGCAGTGAGGGCAGCACAGCCCCACCAGGAACCTGCCCTAGTGTCAGGTCCATCACAGGAAACCCACCTTGAGTGGGCAGAGAGGGCATAGATATGGGGGTCCCCTGCTGCATCACAGCTGAGCCGGGTGGTGAGGAGCCCCCAGGGGGAAAGAAGACCTGGGCCATGGCCCCTGAGGAGGGCATACAAGGGCTAGCGTTAGCCATTCAGAGTCCCCGTCCGCTGGGTGCCTGAAGCTCTCAACATACACACTACACAAACACACGCCCAGGTGCAGTCTAGAGTTCTCAGAAAACCCACAGTCATTCAAACTGTCTCAGCGGAGGAGAGAGGGGTACTCACACTGACACATGGACACACACTAAGCCCAGAGTCCCAGGGTTTTCTCTGTGTCCTGTGTCCACCCCCTCCCAGTGGATGAAGGAAGAAATCCTTATCCAGGAAGCGGTGTTTTTTTTCCCCCCTCCTTTCAGCCACTTCTTTCTCGCTCTTTCGGTGGCAGACTCCTGTTATTGTCCAGGCATGACAAGCATGAGCAATGTGTGTGAGAGGCTCATAAAAAAAAGGGACACACTGAGGGTGGGGAAACAACCCTCCTCCACCTTCTTCTTCCCTCCTTCAGCTCTCTCGTCCAGAGAAGTTGCTCCTGCAGAGGAGAAAGTCCAAAGTTGATTGTGAAACTCCCGGCCCGTGGGAGAAAAAAAAAACAAAAACAATGCCAAACTTTGTTGTCCTCTTCCCCTAGGCTGAGTTACAAAATGGCCTCCTTAAACAGGAAACTGTGAGAATGAAGGAGAGCAAGACACTGCACTGCTTTTACAAGTCTTGCCCTGTTTCAGTTTCAGCCCCAGTTCAGTCTTTTTTGTGAAAAAACACACACACACAGAAAGAGAGAGAGCTGTCTGAGGGTACCTCCCTCTCCCCCTCCCTCCTGCCCTCTTATCTGTGCTTTTGCCACAGCCAAGGAGGAAGTTAAATGACTGACACAGCCTGAAGCCAATAGACTCTCAGAAACTCCCGCCCCTTTGACTCCATACTCCCAGGGTTTCTCCCTCCTCCCTTTCCTCTCTCTCTCTCTCCCTTCCTTGGTTTGGGGTTATCCGTCTTGTTTGCTCCCTCCCTGAACAGAGGCCAGCAAAAGATCCTCTTACGTTGCCTGAGGGGGCAGCTCCACGGCTCAAAAACCCCTCCCATCTCTTCCTCATCTTCCCGCTTAATGCTGTTTAAATCTGTTTCCTGCCCTGGTTTTTTACTCTGTTACATCTTTTTTCTCTTTGCATTTTCAGTAGACACACCTTTGCCTGACTTGCAGAATAGGAACACACCTATTGCAGAGTTGTTTTCATGCAAATTTGCCTGCAGGTTTCAGTAAAATGGGGAACTTTCATGATGAGTGTGGTTTTTTTGCACACACCAGGATAAACAGTATGCTTAGAAATGAGGCTGGGTTACCACAATCGTCAGTATGACTCTGCACCACTTATCTCATTTTACATGCAGATGAAAACAGTGACTTTCTACCTCTGTTCCCTCGACAGTAATGCTGAAACTCACTAACAACATTAGGTTCATCATCATCTTCGGCTTAGTTTCTTCCCAGTGCCGTTATATCATGCAATCAATCCAATTCATTAGAACAAATTAATCACAGGCAACTGCACTCGACTGAAATGCTGATGTGACAAGAGACCTCATAACTCAGCAACTGCAAATAATGTTTGCTGTGATTCTTCATTCCCCCACAAGAGGGCAATGTTTGGTATAAATATATACTGAATAATGAATTCCCAAGTAGAGATGAGGCCATAGGGTTGGTTTGTTGCCATTTTACCTGGTGATTTTGTCTCATATTACAAATGGACATATAACCACAGGTAAAACAATCAGGTGCTGGTTGATCTAAGTATTTTCCATTAATAGGGAAACATAGCCAAGATGCACCAAAAATGATAATATGGGACAAACACAAGCTAAATATGTATCAAACACTCAAGAGAGTAAGATAAGTAAAGTAAAGATAAAGCAATATTTTTCTTTTATTATTTATTTAAAATCTCAAAAAATAAGATCTAACTTACTTAGGTGCTTAAATGTTATACAGCATTCATGATGTAGTGGAGAAAAGGCTTGAAAATATAGATAACATATTTTTTAAGTGTTTTCAGCCACAGGGCAGCACTGATATGTTGCATATGTTAATCCTGATTTTTGGTTTGGCCTGACAGTTAATAAATGTGATTTTGGATGGCTGTGCCAATGAATTCTGTTAATTTAACAAATCAAGACTTGGATGTTGAGTGTGGAAGTGCATTCTTGAAACTTAAAACATTAGTTTGACAAAATAAGTGACCCTCCACTCACCAAATGTTTTACTTGTTTCACTTGGATGTTTAGACTTCACTGTGCAGAACCAACATTTGTGCAGTTTGATACCAGAAGAATATTTTCATATTCATCTGAAGGGAAAAAGTGTATATTTTCTCACATTAAATCTGAGCTTAATACATTTTATTGTGCACTCTTTTTGGAAATTAACAAAGTTTAAAGCCTGTGTTGCAAGCTGGGGGTTCTGAGCTTGACCGGTCTAATGAAAGACGCCAACTCTCTCATGTTGTATAATGGGAAGTTAGGCATCCAGCGTCTTTAGAACTTGACAAATACTGGACTGAAAGCCAGGAAATCCCAGTCTCTGCTGCTCGTCTTTTAGTGATTTATTTTAAAAATGTCTCTTGAAAGTCTCCCAACTTTACGTAAGTGCAATACTAGCGAAATTAGCAAAACTAAAGTGTTCCATGAGAGTACTTCGACAGTGTGTTTTAATACATAAGGAAGGGATCATTCTGGTGTCCAGTTGTGTTTGAATTTTGTTTTTTATCCCTAACTAGAAGGCAAGAAAGACAACACAAACAACTCTCAATTCACTGTACAAAATCTTCATTTTTCTGTTTTTTCTTCCTTAATGACATACAACAGGGGACCCGTAAACAAAAAGAGAAAGTCATTTGATACAAGCTAGAATGCAGTTCAAAAATATATAATAAAACAAAATTAATAAAAAGCAGGTCTCTTATCCCTTGTAGTTAGAGGAAATATTTTGAATACAGCTTAATATGATGTACAAAATATCACACAGTGATAAATTGCTAATAAAAAAATAAAAACACAAAGAAATGAGAGTCCTTTACCTTGGCCTCTGACTGGTAACAGATTTTTTTTTTAAACTTATTTTCTTAATTTTTCATGTTTTTTAATCATTTTGCTTTTTTACAAGTTATACATTGCCATTATCAATCACAAGCAAGTTCTATGCCTAGCAAGGAAGAATGATTCACTTATGATACTACAGTATTCTTACATCTTAATAATCATATTCATAACCAAAGAAAAGAAATGCAAGAAAGAAAACAACAAAATGATGGACATTTACAGCACATAATGGCATCTCTAGTCATCATTTACAACCTCTGTTTCAGTTTCTTTTTCTTTTTTGATGTGTCATACTGATTTGTCTTTATTCTCAGAGTTGGGACACGGCAGCTAAGAGTGAAAAGAAAGCATCAGCAACGCTCATTATCAAATAACTGAGCCACAGCAGGTTCCACCCTTGTAGTATTTACTCCAGATTGTACAAGAAATAAACTGCAAAACATTATTTCTGCACCCTGTTTGAAACCGCTCATCACCAAAAGCATCCACTATTAGATGTAGTGCAAAGTGGAGCCAAATAGTAGTTAATGGGACAACAGGACGTTACGCCAGCAGCAGTACAATAATGAAGTTGCACCTGGTTGTTCTCTATGTCTAATTTCAGACAGTCTACCACCCTGTTTCAGGAAAAAAGAAACTGGAACTACGAATGCTAGTGTCCCCATTGATTAGGACAGCAGTGTTTACCTCTAGGCTACTTTGAACCCTTAAATCTGACCTCTGACCCCTAGTGTGACCCTGTAATCTTGAAGAGGAAGGAGGGCGCCCCTTGACCAATTGATTTAACACCAGATCATATCAGTCTCCTCAAGGTAATACAATAAAATTAACAGTCGAGTAATTTGAAGTCAGGTCAGCTGTTAAGGGTCAAATTTTACCTAAAGTAAACAAACATGCCCTGCAGGTGTCACTATAAATGCAGGACAAACAGAGATGTGAAGTGTTCTCAAAGGAACAATTTTTTCACCAAAGCCAAGTGTTATGTTCAGAAATAGCAGAACAACAACAGATTGGCAAGACAGATTAGGTGATGTGTAATATCAACTGACACCCACACATCTTAAATCAATACTTTCTCTTATTCTTTCTGAAATGATAAAAGTGGCTGAATTTAAAATGGACTTCCGTCTTTGTTTTTTTTTTCCTACCCTGAATCTATTTCTCCCAGCTTGCCTCTTCAGAAAGAGATCAGCTTCACATCATTAGCTCTCGGGGTAATGTGCTACTGTGTCAAACAAAGAAGAGGGACCCTCACCTCGACACAAAAGTGAATGTAATTGTCAAGCTTTTTTGGGGGGAAAGCCTGAATAAATAACAAGCCAGAAGCCCGAGCACTGCCTGCAAACTGGCACTGACTCGAAGATGAAATGAAAAAGACGATCTGAGCAGCTCTCATCTGAGGAAATGTTTTCAGTCCAGGTGATCCTCAATGTAATATAATTACCATCAGCTCTGTACACTCCTCACGCCTGAAAGGACCCAACACAACGTTGGCCAACATTATTCACAACCCTCTACTAAGAACAGTGACCCTTAATTTCTGAAATGTGACCACAGTTAATGAAATGATTCAACGATGAAATGTTATTTAAAAAGTCGATTCACTACATACATCTATAGCCCAATGAGTGAGAAACACAGTCTCTCCTTCTCACACACAAACACACACAAACAAAACAGGTCCCTGATTCTGACTCAAGACTGACAAGGTCTTTCATAGCACCGTGATTTAACTAGTGCGTATAGAAACACGCGCGCGCACACACACACTCTTCTGTACAGTAAAAAGCACCAAATGACACAATCGACGTCATTTGTTGAGAGCATACAGACCGGCCTCACACCCCTGTGGTCTAAGGCCTTTAACTGCTCTCTCGCAGTGACCATTCTGTAGCTGTTTAATGTGGTGTGAGCTTAATCTGTACATCTGTAGAAATGGATCATGGTTGTGGAAATAAAATTCATTTATCTTGTACAGCAGTGACATTTAATCTCACTCACACACATACACAAACGTAGAGGCAGAATCACGGGGACGCTTTAATACTCAGACAAACAATGAGACTTGGTGTCTTGGCCGTAAAGTTGAAATTAAAGCTATTTGTTCCAACACTGGTTAGCAACTGTCTAGTGCCTCTTCAGATCACACACATACACACCTACGTTTAACATTCTCCAACCTTAAATACGACACCACACACACACACACTCTACCTGGAGTCTTTGGAATGTAATACATTGATTCCCAATAAAGAGGTTAGTCAGGTGTTTTCTGGCGACACTGGGAAAAGGTTACTGTTTTCAGTCATGCCTACATAATGTATGTTAGCCACAAGCAATATGTTCAACCACTCAAAAAACGATCTCGGATGAAATGTGTGGTGGCATGTTTGTGCGTGCTGTGCAGCCCTGCGCACGTCGTTGTGGGGACTCCCGTGCAAATGTGAGTAGCCCCTGTCAGCAAGTTCAAGCGCACAACACTACCACACACACGTATGATGCTTTGTAATAGTTGGTAGACTGAAAAAAAGCAGAACAGAATATTGTAGTGTAGAAAAGAGTTACTCCAAACATGATTATTTGAAAACGGAGCAGCCGTAATTTTTAAAGTTATAAAAAAGCAGTGTGGTTAGTATTACAAGAAGTCACTGAGGCATCAGAGAACAGTGAGGGAGACTGAGGGGAGGTGACGTCCTGTGGCAATGACCCAGCCAGTGGGGTGCAGGACAAGTGTGTGTGTAAGTGTGTGTGTGTGTAAGCAGGGGAAATTTGTCCACTGTAGTCTTCCATCTCTTTTGGCCCAGTTGTTTTCGTTGGACTCTAAAGGCAGAAGAGAAGATAAAAAAAGTTAGACCAACAGTGTCCATGACAATAACATAAAAGGCAAAAGATATTAGGTCCCATGTAATTAAAAACATACTCAGGTGGTAATTTAGAGTTGCACAAATCCAACAGGATTAACAAAGTCACACAACAAAAGAGGGTAATGTTTTTATAGTGAGGAAATCAAAAAAGTAGATTTACAAATTAGACAATTTAAACCCAATTTAAACTTCAGCAGCTCAGTGGATTATAATAATACAATTCTCTTAAAGGGGGTATGTATTGAGTTCAACTGTAGATTTACTTGGCTAACCATATATATTAAGAAATTCAAGAGGTTTGGGTATTTGGAAAACTGTTATTTAAAACTGGATGAAAAATGCAGAAACATACATGGAAAGATTAAAAGCGTAATCCAGCAATCAATTTAGTATTACACTTTCATAAAGTTAAGGGACTTGCAAAAGACAGATTTTTAAAATAAATAATAAAAAGAGAACCAACAGAGGCTGAAGTAACCTGACTGTAAGTTTCTCATATGACTCAAGCTTCTTTCAAGAGTCTTTCATTTATTATCCCCCATGATGATAATACATTTTTGGAAAGCTCCCTTCTGAGCCACAGAAGACATATACAACTTTCTTCGGGCTAAGAAATACTTATCATGACAAATAAACTGATCTTTATGTATAAAAATCGTGGAGTGCCGTTGTGAGATTAATGTTGGGGTAATAAAGAATGTTATATTGGAGAGTATGTGAAGGGTTTAGCAGGTTGTCAAATTCTGAGCGGTCTGCATCTCACTGTGTGCGAGTTCTCACCAGAATGACGACAGTGCTGTCAGACAAAGATCTTGGCAAGTGCATCTGCGCCGGCACTGGCAATGAAGGGCTGGGAAGGGTGGAAGGCCACGTCATGAATGGCCTCGTCGTGCTTCTTCCTGTGGGCCGTGATCTCCTGCACGCACGTCCTGTTGTCCAGCATCCACAGGCGCACAGAACAGTCGTGGCCTGCAGAGGGCAGAGAGCAGGTGCAAACAAACACAACAATGTTATGAGGAGCAAAGATCACTGTGGAGTACAATGTAAAGGAAGCTCTGATATTGTTTTACAAGCTAGATTTAATGCAGTTTCTCCAGCAATGCATTACAGTGTAATTTTAATTAATTTTTTCTTTTCCCTCAAGACCATTGACAATTTGTATTTTTAATCATTTTTTTAAATTGCTAATACAGCAATTAATTGCTGAAAAATACCCACACGTATACAGAATGGATGGGTCAGATGATGTTAAATGCAGAGGAGAGGGAATAAGATCACAGTTTACAGTTTGCCTTTATTTTAGCTTGATTCTAAGATGTTTAGCTAAGTAAGGTAAAGCTGAGTGGTACTCACTGCCAGAGATGAGGTAAGTGCCTTTAGGGTCTGTAGTAAGACAGGTGACCGCGTCCAGGTGAGCCACCATTGAGTGAACAACTTTTCCTGTACAAAACACACAAAGCAAGCTTATTTAGATCCAGAAGAAAATGTAAACCTACAGAGGAAATGAATAGATGAAAAATAAAGCCCCTCCTGCAGATACCTGTCTTGTTGTCTAGGAAGCGGATGGTGCGGTTCTCATGTGCAGTGATGGATACGGGCTCAGATGGGTGACTGACCACACGGTTGATCAGCTCACTGCCTGCAAAGGTTTATAACCAACTCCATTTTAACCTGTTTTATCTATTCTTCCAATTACTTATCTTTGAACGAAGTAATGGAAATTCAACTGTTACAAATTGGGCGTTAAACCCAGAACATACCATCCTTGGTCTGTGTCTCTAGCGCAGTGGTGCTCTGCTCTGTGTTGAGGTCGTAGAGCAGCGTCTCTCCGCCGTCAAACGACACCACCACCTGGTTGGGGTCAGTGGCCACAAAGGCCACTGAGGTGGGTGTCCCGTGCTCTGGAAAAAGAGATAGATGAATAAATAATAGAATAAAGAAATTGTGAAGTTGCACGACATGGACACAAGGCTCAAAAGCAAATCGACATAGTCAACACAGTTGGTCTACCTCTCTCCTTATTGAAGACAGACAGGCAGGGAGCTGAGTTCTGAGGGTCCCAGATGCGAATGGTGCCATCGGCTGAGCACGAGGCGAGGCGATGGTGGACTGCCGAGTAAGTTAGACCCCACACGCTGTCTTCATGGCCGGCTAGTACGCTGCTCTCGATGCCAGGATCTGGATGGATAACCGCACATTTTAGGAAAACGAAAGGAAAACTTTACTCTGTGACTGCTAAATACTCCGCAATTGAGGTTGACTGACCATAATTATCGTAAGGATCCACGTTGAGGTCTGGCATCTTCCAACATCTGACAGTTCCATCTAGACCTCCGCTGTAGCAAGAGTCTCCATCCTCGCCCATGGTCAGTGACAGAACGGCTCCGCTGGAAAAAACGAGAGGGCATCAACAGATCAGTGTGTCAGTTAACGACAGCATTGTGCACAAGGTGCGAATTCATATTTGTGCACGTCTCAGACTCAACTCACCTGTGTGCTCTAAACGTGTAGATGGGCTCAACGTCCAATGCTGCATTCCTGTGGAGGGATACAATGTTATAAATGTGCTTCTTAGTTTTATGTCTTTTAGTAGATAGTTGTACATAATTTTACATTATTACATTTCAGCTCCCTGTGGATCTAAGGGTTTTTACTTTTTAGAGTGCATGGCCTTGTTGAGGTTCCAGAGTTTTAGTGTTCCATCCTCAGCGGCTGTGAGCAGCACCGCTTGGCTGGGATGAAAGGTCAAAGCGCGAATGGCATCAAAGTGGCTGCGTAGTGTGAAGCGAGGGTTCCATGTCTTCTTAAACTCCTCTCGGTTATCCTGCATCTGAGAGGACACACATTAAAAAAAAAAAACATTCACATATTTTGAGCATGCAGGTGCAGGTTGGATTACATCCTGTGTATTGACGAGAGCAAATGGGTAATTACATCCATGGAGAGATCGTTGTCATTGGCAACAGTGAGATCAGCCAGTTCGCCCAGGTTCATGTCACCTCCTCCAACGGCGTCCATGATGAAGACGTCAGAGGAAAAACCCAGGGCGCCGCCTGCAGGTTGGAGGTGGAAAAGCACAAGAGTCTACTGCGTCTTGAAAGATCATCATGGCCCTATAAATACAAGCTGAAACAATGTGTATGTATATATATAAAAAATGTGGCAACAAATCTTTGATTCCTTGGCAAGACTCCAATAATCCTGTTTTACTTACTCCCACACTGTGTACCAGAGGAAGTATTTATAGTTATAGGAGCAACTTTGCAAGTTTACCCCTACGCAGGTTTAAAAATTCAACAAAACTGAGACATGACAGCACTGAATTTCAGATTCAAAGTCAAAGCTACAATGGTGTGTGGGATACATGGGAGACTGAGGATAGTCTGTGGTTTTCTTTGGGGCATGTTGGGTGGGGAATCTTACCTTCCCCGGAGCGAGCCTGTCCCGATACAGAGGGGGGTGGGGTGGGTTTAGGGGGGAAGTCCGACATCATGCCTTGTAACTTGTTCCTGCGGTTCTCTGAACCCCGGCAAGAGGAGAGAGACACAAAACATCCAGTCATGCAGAGAGGCGGAGGAAGGACGGAGAGGCCGACAGACGGACAGATGAGAGACAGACGCAAAACGCAAAACGATAGACTTCCTTCTTTAAATACATAACATACACTCACACAAATTTGAAAGATTCTTTTTGTGAGAATGAGCTCAATAAAAAGCACAGGCATACAGTGTAAAGATGACTCAAAGAATGAAATGTGGACATATAAAAAGAGAAGGCAGCATGCGTGATAACCTTTTGAAATGACCCCTGGACCACAGAGAGTACATCTACAGACAGAGATGACAGCTACACAACTGTAAAGAGTCACAGACTGACAGCTCGTGAAACAGGACAGAGAGACAGGTGGTTGGGAAAAGAGGTTGGTTTTATTGACAAGAAGAGATGCCAAGACACAATGAGAAGTAAAAGATAAAAAGGTGAGCAGAGAGTGGGGGAGGGGAGTGGGGGCAAAAAAGACAGATACACTGGTGGCAGTGATTCTGGCAGTGCTGGTGCTGATGGTGTTGCTAAGGCAACAGCGTACCTAACTCCCGTCCGTCCCCCGAGATCCGGGCCTCTCCCGCCCCCTCCCCATCCTCCCCCGAGCCCAGGAAGTCAAATTCACTGAGGGCATCTTCCGAGTCGTCTTCGTCCTCCTCGTCTTCGGGGTCCAGGTCTGTGGTCATGGGCTCCGAACCCATCTGGGCACGAGAGCAGAGCAGAGAAACTTCATGTCACTCACGTGATTGGTCACGAATAAAGTTTATAGTCCGTAGTTTCCATTTTAATTATCTACCGGATTTCATTTCTAATGCACTGATCATACCTTTACGCGAGACTTTTTGTTCTTGCGCGGTCCATCGATGCAGTCGGTGGCCATGCCTTGGAAGTCATCGTCCTCGTCACTGTCGTCTTCATCATCGTCCTCACAGCCATGCAGAAAGGGGATCTTATCGAGCACCGAGCCACCCAGACGTTCCTTAGAGCTTTCCTTGCCCGCATTCCTGCAAATACACGCAGAATTATTCTCTCCATTCCAAGTTTAAAAAAAAAAAAAAGGACACAAAGATTATTTAGGACGACAACTTGCAGATAGATGCAGGATGACCTCAATTATACTGTGTAAGATCATATTAATAAAAGCTTGGCCACAGCCGTCTACATTATAGTACAGCCATTTTTATAATCTTAAAAATGCTTTTTTGTGAGTGTAACTAAAGTTTTAAACCTACATTTCCAATATTTTGATAAAATGAGCCCTGGTTCATATATGTATACTCACAGACTTCATCTTTACATGGCACAATCTGTACATGTCTGACAGGTACATACTGTATATTTTCCGTGCAAGGACAATACACAACCTTAACATATTTCTTTTCTTTTTTTTGTAATCTTACCATGTTTGCCTGATGGAGGATGCCCTCCGTTTTAGACATCTTTTGTGCATCTTGTTCTGTTGGCTTTTGAGATTAGGATGTGCTATTGTTTCACTGTCTTCACATTTATGCTTGCACAGACATATGCACATGGATGCTACTCACAAAGCAGCCTTACCATACAATGACTCATCTCATGTTAACACTGTGTCACATGCACATTTTGTCTGTAATTCTAATTTGTACTCTGTTTATAATGATATTCCACTCACTAATACATTAGGATAAAGATTATAAGTCACATTTTCCACGCTTCCCCAATACCCTGATTACGAACGTGATAAAGACCAGGTCAGAATCTCTTTGTCAGATGGTCTTAAGAGCACAACCTACTGTGTGCACATAGTATAGTCAGATTACGGCATGATGTGCAAATTAGGCCATGTCTATTCAGGGTGACAAGACCTATGGCGTCAATATTTACCCACAGGATTTTTGAACAACTGACTGTGGGCGTCATTATTCTTTTGCAACGGCAAAGAGAGAGAGAGAGAGAGAGGGGATGTCTGCTTTCACAGCCTCACCTCTTGATCTGTTCCTCTATCTGTCTGACCAACAACGACTCTCCACCTGCCCGGGGCTCCGGCTCAGGACAGGTTTCACTTGGTGGAGGTCCATTAGCCTCAGGACTGCTCCGCCCAAGCAGGGAGCGCACACGCTTAGACCGCATGTCCAGGATAGTGTCTGAATAACCCACTTCCTCAAGATATCTGCATTTACAGGAAAAGAGACACATAAATATACACCCAGAACAATTTAAAACCAATGATAAAGTACTGATAGACATTAGAAAAAGATTTCTTATTAAAAAAGGAGCTGATGACAGAGAGGCCTTACTTGCGTAGTAGCTGACGTCCCTCCTTCCACGACATCTGATTGGCTGGCTCAGAGTCTGACTCAGCTGGCCCATTGGGAACTACAGAAAATAGATTGGCCAATAGTGATGCAAGAGCACAAACTTTGAGTTGCTCTGAAAGCACAGCAGCAGTACAAAAAGCAACAGCAGTAGATGATATAATATTTCAAAAATAACAAGAAAAACAAACAAAAACAGAGTATATGCTGTAAGGGCTTGGTTAACCATACGTTGGTCTGCTTCTGTCTCTGGTTTCTTGTCTCCAGGACTCTGGTCATTTCCTGTCTTCAGCTTCTGGTGCTTAGCCCTGCAACCCCACAAACAACCACATGAGGGAAGCATTACAAGCAAATGCCAGATAATCTTTCACTATCAAATCGCTATGCCTAAAGCATGCAACCATTACGAGCCATTACGCAGGCTGAATGGGTAACAGACACGAGGACACAGGGACATTTGTCTTACCGCTCTTGTTTGAGGGCATACTCCAGCATTTTGATCCGCCTCACCAGGTCCTGTTTCATATTTTCCTGCCCTTTCCTCTCACCCTGTAGGAATGCCACCTGAGCCTGAAAACACACACATACACCGGATGATAAGGAACACAAAGTACTTTCACACACATTTCACAACCACACACAAGCGTATATGATCGGAAAATCAATTAATGCCGACACTGTGACTGTGCTATAAATGCAGTGAACTGTATTAAAAAAAGCATGTACGGTCTGAATTAAGGCTGGAGAGTGAAGCATTTGATATCAATAGAGACCATGAACGCAAAGGAAAAAAAGTTTCATGTGACGAGCATAACAAACATGACTTCTGAGAAGTTAGAATAAGTAGAGGGTTGTGGAACAGGGCTCTTATTTTTAACTTCACCTAACCAAGGCCCCAGTGCGCATCTGCAGCAGAGGAAAAACAAGACACAGACTGGCCAAATCCAAGCACTCTCTTTTAAGACACATCCTTCCTTCGTGAGCTTCCTCTCTCATTTCCCATCTGTTTCCTTCCTCACTTAGCTGATAGAATTCTTACCTTTAGGAAAGAAATGTTCACTACATGTTCTTGCCATTTTATTTTTTTTTACAATTAAAAATGTTGTGTGAGAAGAAGAAAAAAAAGTGATAATGAGAACGATGACACTGTCAAATTTTGATGAGAACTATTTTTAGACAGGGTCTTCCCTTGAGTAAGCTATAAAGCAAGACTTGACAAAAATGTTAAAGGGATGCCGGAATGAGGAAAGGTTTATAACACAGGTTTCAGTGTTTTGCACAAGGTAATGCTTCACAGTGGGCAGTTTCGAAGCACAAATGTGGTTCGCATCAGGCAGCAAACACCCTGCCCTCTATAGGTTGAAGGACAGAAATGCCCAAGCGGAAAGAAATACATTAATTCCAGTTCGAGGTAGGTTAAAAAGGCCTACCTATGTTTCTACTCTCAGGGGTTGCATGCAGGTGATCGTAGGCACAGCAGTTTTCACTCTCCTCCCTCTCTTTCTCTCTTTGTGCCAAGTGGTACTGGAGCATTAATACCGATTGTTTTACAGTCCATTTCTCCTCTGCACGTCCCTGTCTGTGTCCACGAGTCTGCACCCACACGCGTATGCAGTTATGTAAAACTAGAACAGTCTATAAACACTATCTCATGGGGCAGGCACTCGGTCTACTTGAGAGGGTAGTCAATCACCCAGGAAAGTACACACACACACACACAGCTAGGAGGGCTAGTGGAACACAGGATAATCTGCCAAGCAAACCTTACTTCTGCTGCTGCTGAGTAATCCTGATTAATTCAATGTGATTTTATATGCTTATCTTAAAATTTTGGAGATAATTGTCAAAGCTAGCATGTCAACACAGCAGGTATGACCTAAGAGGTTGTGAAATACAGTAAGGGTGGGTTAAAAAGTATTGCATTCATTTACCAAACTAGGAAGACTAGTGAATCACAAAAATATTCTGCTTAGCCTTGTATAAACAGCCATGTCATAATATATCATTTGCTGTGGTTATGTGGCTGATAGCTGCTAGTGCTAGTTAGCTGAGCATTTTCCAGATGCACAAAAGTAGCAACTGCAGTTGTTGTGTTTTGTAATGGTAAATGCAATACTGTGTTCGTAGACAGTGTAGCACAATCTGATATCAATGTTAACATGCTAAAATAACAAGAAAAGCAGAGCTCGGCTGTTTCGCTAGCTGGGCAGTGTCATAGTGTAGGAGGTTAAGATATAAGAAAACAGCATGTACATTATGTACTGGGTACCATAAACGGTTGAAAACAGATGGTACACGGCTAAAAAAAAATACAAACAAGCTCATATTACAATGACAGCCTCAAAGTTACATGAGATAATAATTGCTTTTTATCAATAACAAATCAAGCTTCAACTAGAACGCACAACAATAAAACTTCCCTTTAAACATTTCCACTGTTCTGATATGGAAGTCTGTTGTGGGTCAAATAGAGGGCAACTTGGGTAAAACCAGTCAAATTCAAGAGAGCCAAAGTGCAATATGAGGTTTCACTGCATGCAAATAAGTAAATCTGCAGTGTGCCGACTCAGTAGCTGTTCAGTTAGTGAAAACATCATTGTCAGCTCAGCCTTGAGACACACAATCATGCTCAAAAACCTACTGGAAAAACTGTGACCAAAATTGTTAGATGCTGAGCTCTTCACCTTGCAAATGGCTCTCACGTCAGACCTAAACTTAACAAAAGAGCTTGAACCCGCAGCAGCTAACTGAAGCAAGTCAGAGGCAGATACAGTAATGTCACTGTGATCATTTACTGATGTACATTTGAGTCACAGACTACAAATCTTTAAATGATTTGAATCAGCAAAATGCTTTGTAATTTCCACCTCTAAATGGAATGTGTCTACTTCAACCTTCAGGGGTAGGGCACACATTTCTACTCCTACTCGCACACCGACGAGCTACAACCTGCTCACACACACAGATAACCATCTTGTGCGCAAGTGTCACGCCGAGTTCCTAGAGGGACAGGTTCCCACTAGTGCGCAAAATCCCTGACAATGGTTTGTTTGCTATAAGAGAGCGAGACAAGGCTGCATGTGTACACACACACCCAAATACTAACATGACAATGAACGCTGACTGTAAGAACTTCCTTTTCCCAATACATAGAAGGTGGCCTAAACAGAGGGATTAGTGTGTCAAAGGGTTTATTGCTGTATGTCTATGTACTTAACTAGTCATTCTGCAGCTCTGACCTGGTTTTACTTGCTCTTTTTTACTGGTGGTAAGTGGTAGGCTAAGTGAAACAAGGTCCCACAGCTAGAAGCTCCTATTAAGGTTTGTGAATACATTAACAAAAAACTGATTCATTACTAAGGCAGCCGGATTAGTATTGTTTTTTGCTTT